GATGTCTGAGGGAGCCCAGGGCAACTGACTAATCCACTCCCAATAAATCCCATTTTACTGGATCCTGGTTTTTTGGAAATATGGCATCTGATTAGTATATGTTTCTCTGAACTAGGAATTCTAGGTCTTGCTGAAGTGATGAAATCTTGACATTGTTTATTTGATTTCCCAGCCACCTCTCAGCTACCTTCTAAAGTGCCGTATGGCTTATACGAGATGTTTTTAAATACACAATATGAATTGAGATGAATGAAAATAAATTCCATATTGTGGGGGCTTTTAATAAGAACACTGATCTAGTTAGTGTCTAGGATATTTATAGAAGCCCTGCAGCCTTTTCTCTGATGGGATTGAGTGATACAGGCAAATGAAGTCACAGGGTTTGAAAATAAAACTGAGTGAGGAAGGAGTTCTGGTTCTACAGATAAAGATATGGTGAATCTAGGAATTCTGAAATGTGTTCCCAAAGTGGTGAGTTGAAGGGGGTGCTGAGATCCACTGAGCGTCCTGCCAGGCACACTGTGCATGTGAGCTCATCTGGTCTCTGCCACCATCCTGCCCAGTCCTACCCAAGGTCAGTACCTGCCCAAGGTCACACAGCACACCATGGGGAGGACCTGCCTTTTCCATGATGCTATGCTGCTGCTGCTTTGGTGAGCTTGCTAACTTAAAATTTAAAATGTTTTCCATTTTTAAAATTTATCGTTATTGTTGAAAGTATTACTGATATCTCCCTTTTCCCCCTATTGACCCTCTCCACGCCACACCCTCCCAGACTCGCACTATTGTCTATGTCCATGGGTTATGCATATATGCCTGTAAGTTCTTTGGTTCATCTCACCCCCCTTCCCTCTGAGATTCATTCGTCTGTTCCAAGCTTCTATGTCTCTGGATCTGTTTTGCTCATCAGTTTATTTTGTTCATTAGTTTCCATATCTGAGTGCTATCATGTGATGCTTGTCTTTCTCTGACTGGCTTATCTTGCTTAGCATAATACTCTCCAGGTCCCTTAATGCTGTCTCAAAGAGTAAAAGATCCATCTTTTTTACAGCTGCATAGTGTTCTATTGTTTAAATGTACCACAGCTCTTTTATGGGCACTTGGACTGTTTCCAAATCTTAGCTATTGTAAATAGCGCTTCTATGAACATCTCTCCACGCCACACCCTCCCAGACCCGCACTATTGTCTATGTCCATGGGTTATGCATATATGCCTGTAAGTTCTTTGGTTCATCTCACCCCCCTTCCCTCTGAGATTCATTCGTCTGTTCCAAGCTTCTATGTCTCTGGATCTGTTTTGCTCATCAGTTTATTTTGTTCATTAGTTTCCATATCTGAGTGCTATCATGTGATGCTTGTCTTTCTCTGACTGGCTTATCTTGCTTAGCATAATACTCTCCAGGTCCCTTAATGCTGTCTCAAAGAGTAAAAGATCCATCTTTTTTACAGCTGCATAGTGTTCTATTGTTTAAATGTACCACAGCTCTTTTATGGGCACTTGGACTGTTTCCAAATCTTAGCTATTGTAAATAGCGCTTCTATGAACATAGGGGTGCATATATGCTTAGGATATATTCCTAGAAGTGGGATCACTGGGTCAAATGGCAGTTCCATTTTTAATTTTTTGAGGAAACTCCATACTCTTTTCCTTAATGGCTGCACCAGTCTGCGTTCCCACCAGCAGTGTACTAGGATTCCCTTTTCTCCACATCCTCACCAACACTTGTCGTTTGTTGATGATAGCCATTCTGGCAGGTGTGAGGTGATACCTCATTGTTGTTTTAAATGCTCCAAGTCACTAATCATCAGAGAGATGCACATTAAAGTGTTTTAATTTTTAAATTTAAAGTATTTTAATTTAGAGATCAGAATTATCACTGAAATGCAAAATGTTTACAGACTTAATGAAACTGTCCAATCTTCACATTGCTCACTCTTGGTCTCCTTTGTCTTAATCAGCTAGGGCTGCCATAACAAAATGCCATGGACTGGGTGGCTTTGACAATAGACATTCATTTCTCACAGTTCCAGAGGCTGGGAGGTCCGTGATCAAGGTGCTAGCCAGTTCTGTTCCCAGGGAGGGCTCTCTTCCTGACTTGCAGCAGTTGCCTTCTTGCTGGGTCCCCACCTGGTAGAGAAAGAGAGCTCGGGGACCTTTTCCTCTTCTTAGAAGGCACCAGCCCCATGGGATTGGGCCCTTATGCTATGACCTCATTTAACCTTCATTGCCTCCTAAAGGCCCTGACTCCAAATGCAGCCTGGAGATACGGGCTTGGGAAAGCCCCCAGGAGGGGCAGCATCTGAAGGGAGTGTGAAGGGCTCAGTGGAGCCGGGCGGGCGGAGAGCTGAGCAGGAAGGAGGGCCATCTGCAGGGAACTGGCAGCTTCTGGTGTGGCAGGGCTGAGGAATGGGGCAGAAACAGAAAACCTTGGCAGTTAGGACCCAAGTCTGGAGGAGCAGGTGGAATTCAATCCCAAGAGGCCTTTTATATCATGCTGTTGAGTTGGTACTCTATCCCCAAAAGAATTGGCCACAAATTGAGGCATTTTGCTGTATAAAGAAGACTGAGAATTTCCGGGATGGGTAAATGTGAAGAAGGCTATATGAAATTCATAAAATGTATCAAGTGTAAGCCAGTATAACTCAGGCCAAGTCATTCAATGGGACCAGGGGTGGGAGTCGCATTAGAAGCAGGGTCTCCCCTTCCTCTCTCCACAGCCGGGCAGGGACAGCAAGCACTTGATGGATGCTGCTGTGGGCGTTGAAACCAGAGCATGCAAAGCAGGAAGGTGTCCATATAGCCCTTCAGGAGGCGCCCACAGAGAGAGGCAGGTGCCCCAGAGGAGCTGTGCTCTTCCCGCAGCCCAGCCCTTAGCCCCACACCCCAGAGGGCCCTTGCCAGGGTAGACAGACTGCCAGGCCAATCCATCAGGAGGCAGCTCCAGGAAATGCCCCTGAAAACCCCATGCACCTCAGTAAAGGGATCCTAATGATGAGGAGAATGTCATTTTAATGGGACTTTTACATATGATCTGCTAACGCAAATCCCTGGAGCCAGCTGTTAATCATGGGCAGACCCAGACTAGAGCAGAGGAGGATGCCCGCTGCCAGCTCACACAGGAGAGGGTTAGTCATTGGCAGCCCCTTCCAGCTTCAGTATTATTTAGATACGGTTGACTCGGTGTCACGAATTCTAATGATCTTCCCTTTGGACGTGTTGGTGCTCAGAGGGAAACCTGCTGGTGTTTTACGGGGTGTCTGTGTCTCAGTTCCTGGGAGGCCCAGCTTGAGTGACAGCCTCAGTTGACCAGCACGAGGACAGGTGCCCCCAGCTCCTAGGAGGAAAAAATATGCACCTCTGAAAAATTGCACAGGATGCAGAAGTGGCCTCACTCTGGTGGTCCCATTGCCTTCTCTGCACCAGCACTTGTGACAGGCACCAGGGAGAGGGAAGTCAGATGTGACCCTGCCCAGGGGATGGGCCCAGTAGAACATCCTGTGGGAGCACCAGCTCTAGTGATCATGGCAGGGAGA